TCTGGGATTTATTTACCTTCTATAGCTGTCACTGGAGCTGAGAGCCGGCTCCAGCTCTGAGGCCGTGGCTGGCTGAGAGCAGGTATCTGGGTTTGTTTGGCTTCTATAATTGAAACTCTGTTGCCATCACTGGCGCTCTAAGCCCGCTGCTGGTGAAAGCAGTTATCTGGGGTTTGTTTAGCTTCTATAATTGCATGGGATAATGCTCAACCCACTGAGGCTCACTGGCTGGACAGAGAGCCAGAACTTTTTTCATTGAAAGAAATTTTATTTATTTTTTAAAAAAATATTTTTATTGATTTAAGCGAGGGAAGGGGGAGGGGGAGGACATCAGTGATGAGAGAGAATCATTGATTGGCTGCCTCCTGCAAGCCCACTATTGGAGATGAAGCCCAGAGAGGAGAGAGAGAGAGATGTGGAAACATCAATGATGAGAGAGAATCATTGATTGGCTGCCTCCTGCATGCCCCCTACTGGGGTTTGAGCCTGCAACCAGGGCATGTGCCCTTGCCTGGAATTGAACCTGGGATCTTTCAGTCCTCAGGCCAACACTCTAGCCACTGAGCCAAACCTGTTAGGGCTACCCTAGCTTTTTTAGTCATAAAAACACCATGATAGAATTCAAAGAGCATTGGCTTGGGTTAAGTTAGTAAAGCTATGTTTGAGTTCAAGCTTTGCCTCTGATTTCCTTGGTGATTTTGAGCTCTACGCATAGAGTTACAGTAAAACCTTGATGTAATGGATTAATTCCGGTGAGGGGGTGTCCATTAAAGCGGAAAGTCAGTTACATAATGAAGTAGGTTTTCTGTACATTTATGTTAAAAAATTGACAAATTAATTAGTTTTTACTTATGTAGACACGTTTGTGTAATTAAGATTAAGTTTGTATGAAAAGCTTAATTTCACAGAAAATTTTTCTATATGTATTACTGTAATTTTAAATTTATATTGAATAGGTCTAGTAAATGCCTGCATTCATCAGTCACCACGAGTAAACAAATGCACATGGCTGGGGCATGGCTTAGTAAAGGTGGGAACATCAGACTGCTGCAGTGTGATGGCGTGCTAAACATTCACTGAATGATTACCAGCGGTGACTCTTAGATTTAATTTTATAGACTATAGTTGTAGATACGTAATATTTATTTATGTTGGCAAAATTGCTACAGTGTTTATTTTTCCCAACATATGGCCTATTTTGCCTAAATTTGTTAAAAATAACAATTAATAACAAAAAATAACCTGTTAATTTAATTATAAGCATATGTTGGTTAAAAACATTTAAAGATTAACGGTGTTAATTTCCACATATGCCATACAGATCAGAAGTTTTGTCCGTTACATCTGAAGTTCATTAAATCGAGTCTGCAAAATCGAGAGTTTACTGTATTTCAACTCTGATGTGATCTGTATTCTTTTCTAAATCCCATGCCTCATGTCATTTCTGTCAGTATTGACTATTGTTAATTTAAAAAATATTCTGATATTGAGGGTTTATATTTTTGTCTTATTGTACTTGAGCTTATGATGAAGTCTTTATATTTTTTAAAGCTTTTCATTGATGACTTAGGTCTCTCTATGAAGCATCCTTTAACTCCATCTCTCTAAGTGTTGCTTGGTTCTTCTCCGGTTTTCTGTAACAGCTAAGCAAATTTACCTGGTATTATCTTTAATTATCTCAAGCTATATCATATACCTCATAGGAATAGTTCTCTAGGTGAGGAGTCCTTTTGCTTGAAACTGTACTTTTAAGCTTTCTAGGAGAAGAATAAAATCAAAGAAAGCACTACCTCTTAAGTAACTACTAAAGTCAGGACCCCTTTTATTCATCATTTTAAAGAAAAGATCTACAGGTTTGTTAAATTGTCAGTCACCGTGTACCTTTATCAATGTCAGTATTTTCTACTTATGATGCTAGATAGAGTTAACTCTGAATGGCTTTTAGCTATAGTACTATATAGAAAGGATTTAAAAAAATATTTTACATAAAACAGGGCTAAGATAAGGTATCTAGGATAAGCACATATTGGAAGTATGTGCTAATTTCATGCCCACATATATTTTGAATGGTAAATGTGAGGATTTTGAGGGTCCAAAGAGGAGAGAATTATAAGCTTTTTAGTAATTCTTCATTCTCTGTGCCCTCATGTATTTCCCCCCCCACCCCATCCCCATATACCCCCAACAATTTTTGGTCTCCATTTCACAAGAGA